AAGTCCGATGTTCCTATATCACTTTATCATTGCTGGTTGTGTGAGGAAAGCAAAGAGAGGGAGGATTCAAAGATAATGCTGAGGTTTCTGACCTGAGTGAGAGTTTAGAATTATAAAGAAAAACAGGCTTAAGAGGAGAAGAGTTTATATTTGACTTAGATCTTATGGCATTTGAAGGCATGATGAGTGATCCAGTGAAGTGTGCTTAGAAAAAAGTTGGAAATACAGCTGCGGGGTCAGATGGCCCATGTAGAAACCTTTCTCTTGCTCTACAAGGCTAGTAAGCTTCCTTGGTGTCCTTAGGCTGCCTCTTCTCTTCCCATGTCTTTCTGGGCTATTTCAATTGCTTGATTGTCCTCCCACTGACTGAGAAGCCACAGAGCTTTAGAAAAAAGAGAAATAAGGGACGGAATGATAATGTCACCTTCTAGGGCCATGAGCTTCTATCTTCATCTCCCTGTTGGAATTCGGGGAGAGTGTCTTGGATTTTATGTGAGCCTGACTGTGCTTTCCTTGGACAGCTTTGGACTTGGGATTGATGGGCAGGAGCCACGTTCTGAATTCTGCTGTCTTGATGTTATCAGATGTTTGTTATCTTTTTGATTTCAAGACATACCAGAAGAACCTGGGAGTGCCTTTGAAAATACCTGGGGAAGTAGAATTTAGGCACTGTCTATCTGGTAAGTAAGTATAAACAATTTTTCTTAAAAATAAGATAAATGAATTGATCACACAGTAGAAAACTGCCTGATTTATTCTACAACAGTGTGGGCAGCCAATACCCTAGCAGTCTTCTGAATATTTTGCTGAGCAAATCTTCTGGACAAAGTATTTGTTCCATGGAGAACAACATGATTAGAATTGAGAGATACAAGAGTTTTTATTTATTTATTTATTTATTTAATTTTTTTTTTTTTTTGATATGGAGTCTCACTCTGTCACCCAGGCTGGAATGCAATGACACGATCTTGGCTCACTGCAACCTCCACCTCCCAGGTTCAAGCGATTCTCCTGCCTCAGCCTCCTGAGTAACTGGGATTACAGGCTCATGCTACCATGCCCAGCTAATTTTTGTATTTTTAGTAAAGACGAGGTTTCAACATTTTGGCCAGGCTGGTCTTAAACTACTGACCTTGTGATCCACCCGCCTCAGCCTCTGGAAGTGCTGGGATTACAGGCGTGAGCCACCGCACCTGGCGAGATACAGGATTTTTTTTTTTTTTTTAACCTGGCTCTAAGACACACTAGATGAGTTCATTTTCCATAAAATGTCACCAAATGCCCTGAGTTCCAAAAAAAAAAAGGGAAAACAAATGTTATAAGAAAGACTAAAGTACACTCTGAAGAAACTCTACGAAGGAGGCACTCATCTTCCCTTTGTTTTGACATCTCTTTTACTCTCCTAATGCCTTTCATTCCTGTTTCCCTTTTTTGGTTTCTCAAACCTCTGCCAGTTCTTCCAATCATGAGCCAAGAAGTGAACTTAGCAAAATGTATTCTTCCATCATCACTGCCTCTCAACTGCCTGAAAGGGTCAAAAATGATATAACAACAACATGGTTTTGAACCCTGCAAAGTTCTTTAAATAAAAGGCAAAATCCTAATATAATCTTACAGCATTGACATAGGAGAAAATTACTATAATTATGCAAATTAAAATAAGTCAACAAGTTTCAGAATACAATGCACGATAAGTAATGTTTTTAAAAATAACAGTAACCGAGCCTGGTCATTTGCACTTAATAATAGGCTCAGGAGGGAGCCTAGTGTCTGAGGAGAAACAGCTGTGGAAATAGATATATTGTGGCTTTGATAGGTTCTCTCTAGTAGTTTTATTTTTGTATTTGCTTTAGATTATGGAAAGCTCCCAGAGTGCCCTGCTATTGAAATTCCTATCATTCCCAGGGCTTTCATTAAGTCATTGGAGTTGACAGAACTTGAATTGAGGAGGCCTACTGCTATGTCAGTTTATGCCAGGGTGATATTATCAGGGCCCTGGCAACCCTGTGCTCGGGCTTTCACTTATGTCTGGAGTTGTTTCACTGTGAAACATAAGGCATACATGCCTCCATTTGATTTTAAAAGGCATTGAATATGGTCTATTCCAGCAGTAAGGGCTTCAAAAGATCCAGAAGACAGGATGATAACAAAGTGGATATTTTGGCATCATGGAGCAATGAGCTTTGAAATCAGAAGTGCCCAGGCTTAAATCTCATACCTCCCATTCATTAGTGGGGTCATCTCAGGAAGTGATCCAAATTTTCAGAGCCATGAATTTCTCTTTTCAAAAATGAGAATAATCCCAGCTATCATAGAAGTAATGTGAAAGTCAAATGTTAAAAGGTCAATAAGCCCTGAGCCGAGCAGGTATGTGGTAGGAGTTTAATAAATATTATTTCCTTTCTATTGACCTAATTTGAAAATAATCATTGCTTGTAGGAGTATCCTTCCATTTCTTTTCACTTGGGTGAATCTTTGAGATATAGGTGTTATTTCTTGGTTTTAGGGCAAATTTGGCCCTGAGAACCCAAGGTTGGCTAGGGTTGTAACCACTTTCATTTAATTTTGGAAATAAATAAAATACCATTTGCAGCATGTTGGCATTGTGGTTTGCTTCTCATGGCTCCCTCCATCTCTCATATACCTTGCTGAATAACAGGTGTCAATGTTTTATCCCAGCAGAGCTGGAAGCAGTTGCAGCAACATGCTAGCAGAATGGCAAATGTTGATCATGTACAGTGATTTGTGGTTTTTCTGTCTCTTTGCGAAACCTCTTGATGCAAACCAGCTCCCATTTCCGGAGAAACAGGAAACACACCCATTTCACAATGAGTAATAAAACTTACTATAGTCCAAACCAAATCTAAGACGAATGTTTGGGTATACAGAAAGTGTTTTATTTAGCACATGTTGCTCATAGCACAAGCATTTTAAGATCAAAAGTTTCTTTTCTTTCACATTTGTTACTTCTTTCTATGCAAGCATAGGACTTTTCCATGGGTTTCATTATTGTTGAAGGAAAAAAAAGTTAACATGCTGGATCAATGAAAACATTTGTCTACTAATGAGAGAAATAGGAAAGAAGTGAGTAACTCAGTCCTAGCTGGGCTACATCCTCTACAAAGCCAGCAGACAGAGTTGCTCCCTTTTGGCCCATAAGAAGAGTGTACAGCCTTGTTGGACATTAAGGTGCTTCTTAGTATTTATTCATCTGGATACAGGTGCATTATCCTGATAGTTTAGAGCCAGTCCTGGCCAAAGTTGGGATACAGAAAAGCTTGATCCTATGAGGGTACTTTTCTCACGTTGTGGCTTTCCTTCCTTATTCCTGGCTACCTGGTCTTTGGATTCTCTCCTTAGTAGGACCTAGACTCCTATTTTTCCCCTATCATCCTCCTCTTATAAAAGTCTGACATCTGTCATCATCAATGTTAATGACTGCCAGCCTTCTAGAGACATTTATATATTAACAGAGAAAATTCTCTGAACATATTTCCTAAAGTTGGATCTTAATTAACAAGTATATGTGCATAAGTCATTTTCAGGCAGGGACCCACTCTTTCTTCATTATTCAGATTATATTACATGAGATAATAAGATGCCACAGAAAAATGGGGACAGGAGCTAGTTCTTTTATGAACTTGCCCTTAAGTTGCATTGCTTTAAACTATGATGTATGTTCAGTTAAAAGATCATTAACGTAGATTCTAAAGTGCATGATGTATTAGCTTATGGTAGAACAACACTCCCACCGAGAACAACAGAAAAATGGTACAAAATATTAAAAAGATGTATTTGAAGAATTTGGTGAACAGTTGAGGTAACTTAGGGGCCAAGTTACTAGAAAAGAAAGTAATTACTGAGAGAAGAGCTGATATTTTGTGAGCTGCTTTCCTTCCAGAGATACTTACCATTCTTGACTGGTAGAGTCTAAAAATCCTAGAGAGGGTTGCAGCTAAAAGGCAGAGAAGCCAGCAGAGCTTCTGATAAATTCACAATGTAAAGAAAACAATGAAAGCTTAGGGTTATGAAGGCTGCTAGGATTTGAGAGACCAGCATCCCAGAGAGAGGGCAGATGCTGGAGGGTCCAAGATGCTAGAGGTACCCAACCTTTATGAATCTCCCCTTGAAATTTTTGTGGAATTCTTAGGCAGATCAGGAAGCTAAGCAAACCAGGAAGTCACACTCTGACAAGTGGAGTGAGGCATCTTTGGGCAGTCTCATGGAGATAAAGAGACAAAGAATTGGAGCCATGACCTGTTAAGCAGAAAGAGCTTACCAGTCTCTCAGTAAGGAGAGGGCTCACATTGGAGGGGTGAACCAGAGTTAGATGAAGGTTTACAAAAATGTAACCCAGCCATGATCTACTTAAGTCTCTTCTGAATTGTAGTGATCTGCCCCCAGCTGCTAATGGGAATCTCAGAATGCATACAGTCTTTTCTTTATGGAAAAAAATTTGCCAGTTGCTTTTGATTTTTAGTAAAACAAGAATGTTTGGTTTAGATGGCAAGAAAAATTATTTTTATTGGGCATAAAGATGAATCTCTAGATTTCCAGGGTCTTAAAGCTTAACCTATACCCTTCAAGAGTTTTTTAGTGTTGGGTAATGATGATATACTGTTCTGAGCTGGTCTGAAGGCAGTAGGATAAACTTGTTTGACTGTCTAAAGTTTCATAATTTAATGTAAATTATCTTATTACCCGTATCTTGGTAAACATGTTCTCTCCTTTCCAATCCCATTATCAGTGCAACGTGAAAATACATTTTAGATATGGAGACTAGCGATCACAAGGATTAACATCAACTTATTTGTGTTTCAGTTTCTCCTTCCATATTTTGGGTCTCACTCTCACCACAGGTAGGAGATAACTGCAAAACATACGAGATAATACAGAGAGGGCTTTATGATACTGAAAAATGCAAGGAACTCAGTAAAGATCAAGAGTTCCTATCATGTTATTAAGGAGAAGAGAAAATTCTGACCTGCTTTGCACAGAACTTACTACACCACAGTGAGTAGGCAAGGATCTCATTTGGGTGACTGAGCCAGATATTTAATGTGGACAAAAAAGAAAGGGCTATGATTGTAGCCATTCTATGAAGAGAATGTTGCAATAGGAACACGAAATCATGGGGCATGCAATAACACTTTCTAGGCTTCAAGATATAGTTTGTTCTAAACTCTTTTAATTTAGTCCCTGCACATTATGTAAATGATGTAAGCAAGTGTTAATGATATTTATAATAGAATTGATTTAGAAGCATTATAAGCCAAATGGGATACTTTAGAGATGAGTCATGGCAGTTTAATAGGTTCAGGTACTGGTCATTTGTTTTCCAGAACTGTACTGTGTTGCCCGTTCCAATGGGAAAGGTATTAGAGAATAGAAGTCTATATGACCTTTTGGTTATTATCTTCCACCTCCTTTTTTTTTTCTTTTTCTTTTTTTTTTTTTGCTTGTAGGTCTGTGAAGAGTAACAATTGTGACCTTGGAAATGATCTCTTCTTGAAGACAGTTTTGCAGTTATGTTTGTTTCAGTACCTGGGGCTCATGAGAAGGGTTTTGGCTATATCATTATCCTGTATCTGGGATAGTGTCTGGCACAGAGTTGGTACTCTGAGTATTTTGCTATCTTTTATCGACCGACCAAATAAAAAACTGAAAGACTGACTTAATGCCGAGGACTTGGTCAAGGTAGCTAGAGCAAAATGGGGAGTGAAACCAGCTTCCAGATGGCAGGCCAAGAAGACAACGATGCAAAATCCCAACATCTATTTGGTGACTTAGAGAAAATTTAAAATAGAAAATAGAGTTCCTTATATTCTCCCTGCCAATGGAGCAAAAACAGTCTATATTAAGAGTAATACTGAATGCAGTAACTGGCAAAATTAGAAACCTTACTGAGAGTGACAGCAAGTGGAATGACAGAGAGAGGAATACTACCAAATGAGGCTGTAATTTGGTTTATAAGGTACCCCTAAGTGAAAATTCAACCTAGACAGGGTTTTCCTGTTAAAATTTGTAAAAGTTTTGAATCACTCTCCATCTTATAGAAAATTGCAATTACAAAATGAAGAACAAATTTGTCTGCACCATTTGAGGATAAGATGCTAATCTCATGTCCCATCAACTCTGAATACTTTAATGTGTATTTCCTACCATCATGACATTTCCCCACATAACCACAACACAATCATCAAAATCAGGAAATTGACACTGATACATAACTACTGTATAATTCTTAGACCCTATTTAAGTCTTACAATTTTCTCAGTAATGTCTCTTTAGAGCAAAAATATCTTGTTCAGAATCATGTCTTTCATTTTGTTGTGTATTTTTTGTCTCTTCCAATCTGAAACAGTTTCTTCATCTTTCCTTGGCTCTCATGACCTTGATACTTTTGAAAATTATAGGCTAGTTATTTTGTAGGTTGTCCCTCTGCTTGGGTTGGTCTGATGTTTCCTAATGAGTAGAATCATGTCATGCATCTTTGGCAGAAATATCCCAGAAGCAACACTGTGTTCTCACGTAGCCTATCAGGTGCATAAAATTTTGATCTGTCCTGTTGCAGATGTCATTACTTTGATCACTTGATGAATATGGCGTCTGCCAGTCTTCACCACCGAAATGTTACTCTTTCTCTTTTGTAATTTGTAAGTATTTGATGGGAGGATATTTTGAAACTATGTAAATATCCCATTCTTTATAAAACTGGTATCATTCATTCATTCATTTCCCTATTAAACTTTCAATGTAATCATTCATTTATTTGTAGCAGTAAGGATTTATAATTTCCTAGTCAAGTGACTATAATTTGTAATTTTCATTATGTTTGAATTATCCCCAATTTGTCCAGATTTTCTCCTTCAAGTCAGTTTATCTGTCCTTTAAACATGTCACTATTATTTTTTGAGTACTCCTTTGCTTTCTGGTATTAAAGAAGCATTCCAGAATGATTGTATACTTTTTTGCCTTAGTCTTGAAATGAGCCATTTCTCCAAGGGGCCTTGATTCCATTTAGTGGTACATGGTACTTAGTAAATAGTTTGTGTGCTCATTGCTATTGAGGTGTCACCGTTCCCAGGCCCTTTCAATTACATTTATTTCTCTCTATACATTTCTATGTTTATATCTCTCTATATATTTATGTCTCTGCCCTTGTCTATCCACTGCACTCCAGCTGGGCAACAGAGTGATACTCCATCTAAGAAAAAAAAAAAAATCATGAGCTCATACCAATACCCCCAATTTCTCTGCCACTCTCTATAGGATGAATTATAGCTTTCTCCCTTTCCATGTTTAGAGTTTCATTTTTTAACAGTGAGATGCCTGGTTCCCATTATCCTTGATGTATTTACTTATTTAACTAGTCTCCATCTTTGTAATCAATTCCCAAGTGGTACCAACCCCCCAGCCCTCACAAATGTCTACTCACTCTGCCTGGGCTTTGACAACCTTTTCTGCTACCCCACACATAGAGACACTTATCATTCTATCCCATCTCTGGTTCATAATTGCCAACCACTGCTGCCACTGGTTTGGGGTGTGGAGGTGACAGGGAAGGTGGGAGGGCTCTGACCCCACTCAGGAGTTCACGTTATTCTCTGAGCCATGTGTCCTCCACGTTTACCTTACCTAACCTTCTTCAATGGTTTTAGAACTGAATTGTCCTTGAAGGGAATGAAAGAAAAGAAAAAAAAAAAAGGAAGAAAACCTTTTTTTAAAGTCCTAAAAATAAAAATGTCAGCTTTCCCATTATTGAAAGATCTTATCTATTTGATACTTTGAACCAATATATATATTTTAAAAACATATACAGCCACCATATTTCTAGGTTTTGAAGGATGAGAATCTATTTTGGGGTTCACTTTGTAGATTTGGGGGTGTGGGTTTTGTTAATCCTTTCTGTGCTTGAGTGAGGTCATGGCTTTCACATTGTACTCCACAGCCCCACATTCTAGGGGCTTCACTGAGAAAGCATAGGGTATGGGGCTGTTGCAGAGTCATAGAGACTTGCCTTTGTTTCTCGCCCTGCTTTTACCAGAAAATTCTGTTTCTGTGTTATATATCAGATTTCCACATGAGATTTCAGCCAAAAATAAAAGGTTTCAAATGCTTAAAGTGTTTGAAAACCAGAGTTAGATGATCTCTCTGAGAGTGCCAGCTGGGAGTTATAAGAATTAAGCTTTGAAATTCCTACTTAAGTGTACATTTTTTCTTCATGAATATGAGCAACAATAATTTTCTGTCATTTACAAATGTTTTAGTATCCCTGTATGATTTTATATATATGATTATTTTAGATTATTTTTAAAATATGGAAGAATGGAAAACAATTACCTGTCCCCTTATTACCCTGCCCCTGACACATTTGACAAAATCACCCTCAAGATATCAAAATGCTTTCTTCCAGTATTTTTATTGTGCTTTATTATTTTCATAATGATTGTAAGCATAACATATATAATTACTCTTAACTATCAATTTTCTAAATATAGGTTTTCTGGGATCTCAATTTCAAGAAAATATAAAGCAGTAGTTTTCATTTACTTATTAATTTTTACACTGAAATATGAAGCTCCTATCCTGTCCTCATTGAACTGAATTCTGATGGGAGAAGGGACTAAGTAATCTCAAGTGTGGAAAGCATTGGAGACACAGAGTGCCGTGGGAGTATGTAATGGGCAGTCTTTACTTATTCTGGGGCAGGTCAGGAGTAAGCAAGAATCGGTGAGGACTTTTTGGTGAAAAAACATTTAAGGGGAGACATAAAGGTCTGTTAGCTGGTGAAAGGTGAGGAGCTGGGAGGGAGAAATGATTTTCAGACACAGAATGCAGCCAGTGCAACGTCCCTGTGGCAGGAAAGAGTAGGGCGTGGTCGAGGAGCCAAAAGAAATCCAGCATGGTGGAAGCATAGAAAACTAAGTGGCACAAAATGATATGAGAGAGGTAGTTAGGGTGCAACCTAGCTGTTTGAAAGATTTGATCTTTATCTTAGATGGAATGGGAATCACTAAAAGGACTGAAACAAGGAAATTACATGGTCAAATTTGAAGGTTGTTTTTTTTTTTTTTTTTTTTTTTTTTTTTTTTTTTTTTTTTTTTTTTGAGATAGAGTCTTACTGTGTCACCTAGGTTGGAGTGCAGTGGCACGATCTCGGCTCACTGCAACCTCCGCCTCCTGGGTTCAAGTGATTCTCCTGCCTCAGCCTCCCAATTAGCTGGGACTACAGGTGTGTGCCATCGCTCCCAGCTAATTTTTTGTATTTTTAATAGAGACGGGGTTTTACTGTGCTAGGCAAGATGGTCTCAAACTCCCGACTTTGTGATTTGCCTGCCTGGGCCTCCCAAAGTGTTGGGATTACTGGTGTGAGCCAATGCACCCAGCCCAAATTCGAGTTTTATAAACAAGTCTCTGGATGATTTATAAAGAATGAATGTGGGTTGGCAAGAGAGAATTCATCTCAACTAATTAGGAGGCTACTGACTAGTCTATGTGACAGATGTCAATGATTTGGACTAGGGTATAAGCATTTGGGTTAGGGAGTAAGGAACAAATGTCTAAGATATACAAACTTCAGAGTTGGGTGACTGATTTAGTGTGGGAGTGAGGGTGAGTGGAATATGCCAACCTTCCCAGTAGGCCTTCACATGGGAAAATCTGCTGCACAATGTTGACCACTTTCCCCCTGCGGGTAGGAGGTTGGGGTCAACCTGGGCTACTGTGGTTGAGGGAATCAGCACATCTTCTTCACCCCTATGGCCACAGTGATTGCTACACAGATGGGCACATCTCTCTTTAGCCCATCACATTCAACAAGTTTCAATTCTGGGACTTTTGTTTATACTATCAAGGAAGTGGACCCATCCTTTTTCACAACCTTCAAGGTTCAGCTGATTTAGAGACTGGAATTGTCCAGACTTGTCACTTTTGGTTGATATGAAAGGTAACAGCTGAAATGAGATATACTTGAGTCTATGACATTATTTGAAACCTGAATCAAGCTATGTCCTTCCTGCACACATTTTATATGTAAAAGTAAAAAATACTGTTTCTTATAAGATCACTTTGGGATGAGTTTCCTGTAATATGCAACTGAAAATATTCTCCCTGATATTCAACTGAAATTGAATGCCCCATTTGATGTAACAATTTAATTTTATTATAACACTTTGTTCTGATGATATATTTAAATAAAGTTGATATCATATTCCTATGTTGATTTAGTACTCTACACTGCTCCCTTTGGGTCTTGGTTTGTATTCTTTCAGAAATACACCTTAAGACAAGGATATAATTACAAATAATTTATCTGAAAAGTTTTCCCAAGAAACACCAGCAGGGAATTAAGATAAGAGAAGGAAGTCAATAAAATGTGTGTTCTAAGAAAACTACCTTTTTAGGTAGCTGGAACTTAATCCACCTGGGAAGTTTCTGGGAGACAGTGTAGTACATCCCTCAGTGTCATCATAATATAGGGAAGAAGAAGTTAATGGGTTGATTTCTTTACCAATTTATTGGTAATGAAGTTAATGTTTTTATTTCTTTACTTTATTTCAACCAATACTTTACCCATCGTAGGTTGAAAATTGCTTGGAGGGAATTAACTCTTTGATATGTTCAGTTTGCCGTACCTATAGGCCGACATAGTTCCTGTGTCCAGAAAATAGTGCTGGGGCAGTTGTAGGTATTTCCCAGTAACCAGCCTTTAGTAAGTGGAGATGAGTGCAAAAGGAAGTGGGTGGAGCACTACCAGCATCTGTTACCCACTTCTCAGCCCTTGTTAGACTCAGATTTTTTTTTTTAATCATTCAGTTCTTATCTTCAGTACCTTATATATTGTGCTTTTCCCTTGTAACCATACTCCTCCGTTGATTATTTCTTACCAGCACACAAACTTTCAGAAATCTGCCACCTAAATGAAAGTTTCTATGTTTCCTTCCAGTTACTTTATTTACCATCACTGTTTCACATCAAATTTTTTTGAAACAGTTGTATATCATTACAGTTTCTACTTCCTGACACCTGTTTTCTCATTAAACCAATCCAGTAGGATTTTTGTCCTTAACACTACACTGAAACTGCTCTTACAAAATTCATCGGTAATCTTTATGATCCCAAAATAAGTGGTTATTTCTCTACCTTCATCTTACTCAAACTTTCAGCATAATTCAAGAAAGATGCAACTCTTTCCTAAAGAATTTTTCCTTTTTTAAATGTATAGCTATATTTTCCCACCTCAGTGAAAGGAAACTCCTCAGTTCCCTCTAATAGCCCATTTTCTTGTGCCACCTGTGATTATGCCAAAGTTCCATCACCTATATATGACCCCCAACTTAATTCATTGAATCCTCTTGGCCACACTTAGCTCTGGACAACACAGACAACCATCTTGGTCTACTCGGCACTTGGCATATCTAGGAGTTACCTTAACATGTCCACAACAAAACTTATTTTTCATCCAACTTTTTCATTCACTAATCTTTTTCATTTCAGAAAATGTCTGTCACTTCCCTAGCTGCCCAAACAAAAATGTTTGGGCCATTCTTGATTTCATTTTTCTTCACCTCCCACATCTGACTCCATGAGCAAGTTCTTCTTTCTCCATCTCAAAAGTAAGTCCTGAATGTGCCAATTTCCCCATATTCGTCTCTACCATCCTAACACAAGGCATTATTATCTTTCCTCAACCTACTTGCAATAGCTTCCTAGCTGGTCTCTCTCTCCAGTCCTATACCCTTATAACCTACTTTTTGCACAGCAAACCAAGTGATAGTTTAAAATAATATGTTACTTCCTTCTTAGAATCTTCTTATGGTTTCCCATAATATTTAACAACAACAACAGCAACAGCAGCAACACGATCTGGCTCCTCCCTACCACTCTGATTCATTCATTTCCTATCACTTTCTTCTCTGCCCTCTGTTTACTAACCACACTTGTCTTCCTATTTTAGTGGTTCTTTACAGGGGCAATACCACACCCTGGAGGTGTTTTTATAGCTTGTGTGTGCATCTTTGCATGCTGTGACATTAGTAGCATTACTAACAGTGTGAGGATCACTAATTCCACATTTCCTGCTATATGAAGGGCAGATCCATGAGAGGAAGCACAGTTCTGTATCCTGCATGACTTTCAAATATCCTGACAGGTATTCACGTAGGCAAAAAATTTACTTATAATTATTTGAACCTAAAACCTAATTCTACTTTACATACAAAGTATTTTTGCATAATTTTTATATACACCAACATTTCTAGGAATGCAAGTACATTGTAAATTGAAGGAAGAGTGTAATTTGTTTTGTTAGAAACTCTGTCAAGAGTTGCTCACCATTTCAGAAAATCACATCACCAATGGCAACGCCATTTGCGGTATTTGAGTTGCCAATGCAGCACACCTGTACCCGACTCCATTTGCAGTTGTCACATTCATGCTGATTCTAAGTATAGATACAAACATCTGACTATTTCATATGGCTTCTTGTTATAATACCTGAACATTTTCATATAGAAATAAGTATCATTTTATTATAAATTGTCTTCCTATTCTCTTTATAGTGATGACATTATGTTAATCTTTTTGGAATTTGTGTAAATATATTTGATATAATTTCAGGGCAATCAAGGGGATTTTACAAACTGTCATTAAAGGAGGGTTCTGGGTCTTAAAGGTTTAGCCTGCTGCTGTAACACTTTAAGCTTGACGCTCCCCAAAGTGATCCAGGTACCGATTACATTCACCATAGTCCTGAACAATGAACAAATTCCTTCCGTAGATCTATAGCAGGAAGGTAGGATGATGTGCCAGTTTCTGAGAAAATTCTTTTATTAGTCTGGAATTAGTCTAGTACTGTGTTATACTAGAGGCAGAGATTATCAGCTGTTTAAAAAATGTTTTTACTCTTTGTCATCAGCTAGACTGTATTCTCCAGCATTCTTTACCATCAGTTGTGGCCAAATGACTGGGGAAACAGAAAAATTTTATTTGCAGCATGCACTATTTTCAGAGTTCTTTTTGTCTGTGTGTAACTCTACTTCTGGGGATCAGACTTTCAAAGGTGCAGTGTGCATTGACATTTTCGTCTTCATTTCTTCCCAATTATTTCCTGTGAGCTGCTTTCATGGAAAGGATTTAGAAAAATTGTAGGGTACGAGGGTATGTTATAAAAACAGCATTCTGATTATCCAAGACAGAGGTATAATAGAGAAGTGGTGGCAACATTTTTTATTTTATTGTTTTGTCTTCAGGTCTTACTTATACTGGGTTACGTGCAGAGAGTGGCGGCATTGGAAGTTAATGGTGTAGAACAATTTTAAATCAAGACCAACTGTATTTCTTAACACACCAGATAATAGACTGTGCAGTTGTCACAGGCTTATGGTGATCCATAGAGAAATGCTAATGGACAGAAGAAAAGAAAATAAGTCCTGTATTGTATGTAAAGGCTGTAACGTGTAAAACACTTAGAGGGGATGAAAAGGCATATTGCCCTTTGATGAAGCAAGTTTCAATGGACTTCAGGTTTCCACAATGATGACCCATTGCCAATGAGATCACCTGGCTGGAGTGAGTATGAGCAAGTATTTTGGGAACTTCTCTTTGCTATTCTAATTGGGATTTTCTTTCTTTCTGGCTATTCTCAACTGCTTAGGACACTTGAAGTATTTGCATGCCTTCTAAATGCAGGCAACTTTTCAGGATATCTGTGAAATTGTATTGTGAGGGTAAAAAAGCCAATTCCCTGATGTCAATTTCTCAGAGGGAGCTTTTCTTCTAGGAGACTCAGAATTTAGAATTGCACAGTCTATTCTTAGGAAGTAAAACACCTTATTGTTCTTCAGTGTTGTTATCAATCTTATAAGCTCAATTACCATGGCTTTATATTGAGTAATTGGGTTATGATTGATTCTCTGTTCCACTAGTACTAAGTAGCACTACAACTGTTTGCCGAGAAAATTTAGGACAATACTGTAATGACAGCTGAGGGACTGTTGGCTAGACCTTCATGTAAGTTATTTTCGGAAAAGTCACCTATTAGAAAACCTCATTGGCATCAGATAGTACTCTAAGATTCAACTTGATTAACTTTATGCAGAAATCAAGAAGCTATTCACAATAAAGCACTAATTAGAACAGTTTATTCTAACTATAATATCTAGAGGTTAAGTTGGGTTTAAAAATGTGCTTCACAACAGGCTAGTCAAATTTAGTAACATTTCTAATTGCTTATGGGGGCTTAATTCAGAGAAAATGTAGAACTAAATATACTATCAATATGTAAATACAATGCTAAAGAATATGGGAGCTACACATTTCACAAGATCCTATTTTAATCACAAATTATATTTTAGGGCAAAATATAACACATGACTAAATCAAATATTTGTTCTTCTGTGAAGTCTACTTTGGCAGGTATGCTCAGTCCTTCCTCCGAAAGTAATTTGTTCATACTTTATAGCACTGATATTGAATTATTATTATTAATAGTAATGGCAGCAGTTAGTTGGCAGGTCCTGTCCCTTATTGTCCTATATATCCTCATGGTTCGGCTCAATGCCAAGTGTACGGCAATTGCTCATCAAATGTTTGCTGAAATAAATTCCTACATGCATCTGTGCATTCATTAATCAATGAATGAACCAGTTCCATTGAAGACTGAATATGGTTTCTTCCACATCATGAGTGGAGTAGATCACGAGTCCTATTGAAATGGGAGAATCATGACCTTCCCATGACAACAATGATTTTAGATTTTATTGGTGAAAGGAATATAGCCTAATGTTATTTCACAATATCCAGCTTTCTGAAAGAGGGATACAAACTAAAGATTGAATTTTAAACTATCAGCAAAAAAGTGTTAAGAAATTATAAAATAGCATAAAATGTTAAGTGAACATGAGAACAAAAATTTGATTTTGTTTTAGGTGTAATTATTTAGATTAAAAAGCACAGCAAATTGAATTTTTTTTTCCTTCCTGGGGGACTGCTGCTTTCAATTGGCAAAAGTCAGCTGTTACATGAAAACGCTAGACTTTAAAGATCACGAGTGCAGGGTCAGAGTATGTGTTTGCTTGCCCGTGCATTGCCAGTAGTCAATGCAGAAGTAAGAATATATTAGGCTCTTAATAATATTTGTTGAATAAATAGATCAATGAATGAACCATGTTAATTTAACTGTAGTTTTCTTATAAGCAGATTTATAGGCACAGAGCCAGTTTCTACTGAAAGTTAGTTATAAGTTTCATAGTTTTACTCACAACCTTGGTTTTCCAATCTTGCATTTTCTTTAGACTTATTATTTAGAAATGTGAATTCTCTTGGCAAAGGTTTCTACCACACAACTTCTTCTTGACTCCAACTGCCTGGTGCTTATTAAAAGTTATTTCACGTGGTTCCTTAGCACTTTGTCCACGGCACTTCTGTAGCACTTTTCACACATAATTGCATTTATAAAAAGCCCTTGCTAAATGCAATTTCTCTTTCATGAAATTGTACATCTGTGAATTTACTTTTGTACACTTTTCCACAATCAGGAAAATCTTACTTTGATTAGATGCACACCTGTTGGGGATAATTTGAGAAAGAGGGAGTAAGAAGTTGGGAATTTGAAAAGGCAAAAAAGAGGTAAAGCAGGTGGCAGAGCAGGAGAATGATTTTTAAAATGCAGCTTTGGAAGAAATTAAGGTGGCTGAAGCAAAGTTAGAATTGTATCCCATCCCATAGATTGGCTGGAGGGAGGAGAGGTGCATGTGTTCTAGGCTCAAATTGTCTTAAGCAAAGTTCTGTGAGTGGGTAGAAGGAAGGGCTAAGAGGTAGCTTTTTGATATCCGTAGTAACTGAAATAAAAGCTGCCTGAGGCTTTTTCCAACCAAGTTACTGTACTTATTTGGGGTCACTGTGTGATCCAGGAGAAAGGAGTCAAGATGTCATTCACCTACTCAGAAAGCCTTTCAACTTATGTAGAGTCTAATATGTGTAGGCCAGGGCTGAGGCATATGTCTATCATGTGATAAATACGCAGGTATGTTGTTGAAGATGCTGGGAAAACATTTTAATATGCTATTCTTTATTGTTTGGCTTTCAAGAGAGAAAAAATGTATTTATATAAACTTTCATAGTTTAATCCACAACCTTCATGGCCCTGTCTTATCTTTCTCTTAAAAGCTTACTTATTTATATGTATTTTAAAAATGTGAATTCTCCTGGCACAGGGATTTTTGGAGCATAACCCTTTGATTGGAGAGAAAAAAATACATGTTTGTGTAGCAGTGTACAAATTGCATGAGTCACAGAGATGTAAAAAAAATTATCCTTCTGTAACTAAACAATTTTTTTTTTTACATTAAGTTCTAGGATACATGTGTACAATGTGCAGATTTGTTGCATAGGTATACCTGTGCCATGGTAGTTTGCTGCACCTATCAACCCATCATCAAAGTTTTAGCCCTGCATGCATAGGTATTTGTTCTAAAGTTTCCCCTCCTTTTGCCCCCTACCCTACAGCAGGTCCTGGCATGTGTTGTTCCCCTCCTTGTGTCCATGTGTTCTCATTGTTCAACTTCCACTTATGAGTGAGAACATGCAGTGTTTTTCTGTTCCTGTGTTAGTTTGCTGTGGATGATGGCTTCCAGCTTCATCCGTGTCTCTGCAAAAAAGATAATTTCATTCTTTTTCATGGCTGCATAGTATTCCATGGCATATACCTTCCATATTTTCTTTATCCAGTTTATCATTGATGGGCATTTGGGTTGATTCCATGTCTTTGCTATTGTAAATAGTGCTGCAATAAACATACATGTGCATGTCTCTTTATAGTAGAATTATTTATATCCCTTTGGGTATATATCCTGTAATGGGACTCCTGGGTCAAATGGTATCTCTGGTTCCAGATCCTTGAGGAATCGCCACACTGTCTTCCACAATGATTGAGCTGATTTACATTCCTACTAACAGTGTAAAAGCATTCCTATTTCTCCACAACCTTGCCAGCACCTATTGTTTTCAGACATGTTAATAATCACCATTCTGACTGGCTTGATGGTATCACATTGTGGTTTTGATTTTCATTTTTCTAACTATCAGTGATGATGAACATTTTTTCATCATCACTGATCATTAGAAAAATGAAAATCAAAACTAAATGTCTTCTTTTTAGAAGCGTCAGTTCATATCTTTTGTCCACTTTTTGATGGGGTCGTTTCTTTCTTGTAAATTTGTTTAAGTTTCTTATAGATTCTGGATATTAGATTTTGTCAGATTGGTAGATTGCAAATATTTTATCACATTCCGTAGGTTGACTGAATACTCTGATGCTAGCTTATTTCGTTGAATTAGATCTCACTTGTTAATTTTGACTTTTGCAGCTGCTTTTGGCATTTTCATCATGAAGTCTTTTTGCGCATGCCTTTGTTCTAAATGGTTTTGCCTAGGTTTTCTTCTAGGGTGTTTCTAGTTTTGGACTTTACATTTAAATCTTTAATCCATCTTGAGTTAATCTTTGTATAAAGTGTAAGGAAGGGGTCCAGTTTCAGTTTTCTGCATATGGCTAGCCAGTTTCCCTGGCACTATTTATTAAATAGGGAATCCTTTCCTCATTGCTTGTTTTTGTCAGGTTTGTCGAAGATCAGATGGTTGTAGATCTATGGTGTTATTTCTGAGGTCTCTGTTCTGTTTCATTAATCTATATGTCTCTTTTGGTACCGGTACCATCCTCTTTTGGTTACTGCAGGCTTGTAGTATAATTTGTCAGGTAGCGTGTTGCCTCTAGCTTTGTTCTTTTTGCTTAGGATTGTCTTGGCTATATGGGCTCTTTTATGATTCCATGTGAAATGTAAGATAGATTTTTTCTAATTCTATGAAGAAAGTCAATGGTAATTTGAAGGGAATAGCATGGAATCTATAAATTACTTTGGGCAATATGGCCATTTTGATGATATTGATTCTTCATATCCATGAGCATGGAATGTTATTTTTCCATTTGTTTGTGCTCTTTTTTCTTTCCTTGAGCAGTGGTTTACAGTTCTTGAAGAGGTCCTTCATGTCCCTTATAAGCTGTATTCCGAGGTATTTTATTTTCTTTGTAGCAATTGCGAATGTGGGTTCATTCATGATTTGGCTCTCCGTTTGTCTATTATTGGTGTATAGGAATGCTTGTGATTTTTGCACATTGATTTTGTATCCTGAGACTTTCCTGATGTTGCTTATCAGGTTAAGGAGTTTTGGTGCTGAATGATGGGGTTTTCTAAATATACAATCGTGTCATCTGCAAACAGAGACAATTTAACTTCCTCTCTTCCTATTTGAATACATTTTTTTTTCTCTTGCCTAATTACCCTGGCCAGAACTTCCAATACTATGTTGAATAGGAGTGGTGAGAGAGGGCATACTTGTCTTGTGCTGGTTTTCAAAGGGAATGCTTCCAGCTTTTGCCCATTCAGTATGATATTGGCTATTGGTTTGTCATAAATAGCTCTTATTATTTTGAGATATGTTCCATCAATACCTAGTTTATTAGGAGTTTTTAACATAAAGGGATGTTGAATTTTATCAAAGGTCTTTTCTCCATCTATTGAGATAATCATGTGGTTTTTGTCACTAGTTCCGTTTATGTGATAGATTATGTTTATTGATTTGCGTATGTTGAACCAGCCTCGCATCCCGGGATGAAGATGACTTGATTGTGGTAGATAAGCTTTTTGATGTGCTGCTAGATTCACATTGCCAGTATTTTATTAAGAATTTTTACATCAGTGTTTATCAGGGATATTGGCCTGAAGGTTTTTGTTGTTGTTGTTGGGTCTCTGCCAGGTTTTGGTATCAGGATGATGCTAGCCTCACAGAATACATTAGGGAGGAGTCCCTGTTTTCAATTGTTTGGAATAGTTTTAGAAGAAATAGTACCAGCTCCTCTTTGTACCTCTGGTAGAAGGTGGCTTCTAACGAGACAATTTTCATTTTGAGATCCCTTTTCAATCTGCAGTAGGAAACTTCATTTAGCTACTTCCAGTTTTAGTGGTTTCTCAGTGATTTTGAATTTAAATCCAGTCAAATTGAATAATTCTTCCCCTTCTGATTTCTCTTGGGGCTAATGTAAATCATAAACATATGCCAAGATGTAGCATTTTTGGAGATGGCATTTACTCCCCCATATTGATCTACTTTGTGCTGACTTTAGCTGAGACAGATCATAATCCTGTAAAAGGCTTTTGTTGTCTGCCTATCTGGCATTTAGGGGAAATCTAAACTGTTTTTTTACAGAAGGCGCCCTGTCCCCTTTTCAGATTAAAATTTTATAATTTATACTGTAACAACTTACTCTCCCTGTGACCCACAAGAAACCTCCCTTTCGGTTGGCTTTGTATTATATCTAGGAAATTCTTTGCCATGAGAGAAAACGTTGGATAGCCCTGATTCTGACTGGATCCTTCTATGATTCTACAGATAAATCTATTATGAATTCATCCATTGATCCATCCATTGATCCATCCACTCATCCATCCATCAGTCCACCCACCCATCCATCCATCAATCTATTCAGTGGGCCAGCTAACAAACATTTATTGTCAGGTGCTTAGTAGGCCCTGGTAGTAGAAGGTTTCTTCCTGAAGGATTTCACTTTCTGGTAGTATATAATAACCAAAATCATTGCCCTGATTGTCCACAAAGCTAAGAGACCTAAAACTAAGACCATTTATTCCTTACATCTTACTATCTACATTACCATAACTTACTTTTTCTGTGAAACTCTTGCTCAGGTGAATGGGTTTAACTCCTCATGGAAAGCATCAACATACAGTTTGTATCCTCAAATTCATTTAATCCCTCATCTCAAAAATCTTTGCCTTGCTATTTCATGATCTTCACCAAATCCTAAGCAACCCCACCTTTCTTGTAATAGCATCTCCAAACT